AACAGGCCTGGTTATAGTACAAGTTCAAGTTCAAACGTTTATTTGCCAAAACACAGTAATACACAGGCATATAAATGTATTCGGTACTCACGCTCCACAGGCGGGTAGTCGATCCTGTGGTTGGGGTCGAGGATGGCGGCCAGCTTGGCGAGGTTGGGGATGTGTCCGAAGGGCGTGCGGCCGTACGCCATGCTGTACAGGATGCAGCCCAGCGACCACACGTCCGATCGGAACGAGATCTGCGGGAATTATGTTTGTTTACTTACTTTATTCGGGAAACAACAGTGCTGTTACAATCAAAAATAATTTCAATCATGTACACACGGCCACACTTTTAACTATCCATTTCCGTTTTGCTCTCGCTTTCATCAAATGGTGATTCTTTGCGATAGAACGAGACGACATGACAGGCAATGTTAGTTAATTAAGAAAAGTAAAAGTTGATTTAAAACTATAGTTCTTTGGGTATCTTAGTACTTGATAGTTCACTCGAATGCACTAAAATGAAAACGGAATAATACTTAAGAAGGCAAGGATGCAATTTATCTGTCTGTTAGCAACAAGAATAAGAGGCAACGGTTACAACTGTAACTTGAGGAGTACTGAACATGCATGTGAACGTTTTTACTCCTTATTATATTATACTCCTGTGCCCCGATCACGCTAATTTTTAACGTCTCCAATACAAACGCGCTTCTTCGATTCTGGTCCGGGCACGTTAAAGATGAACATTTTTAGCGTAATCGGGGCCCTGCACTGCGTCCGTAACAGCGAGACTAACAAACGCCAGTGGTTGGAATTGTGTAGTAAATCATACTCCAGCCTTTGACATCAGTACTGAACTCTATAAACCATAAGAAACAGCAGTGGGTACCTTGATAGGCGCGCTGCCGTCAGCGGGCCCGACGCCGTAGCCGCCCGCGCCGCCCATGAGCGCCTCGGGACTGATATACGAGTACGTGCCCGTGGCCTGCGCGCGCACCACGCTCGTGGCGTCGCTGCTGATCGCCGACGCGATGCCGAAGTCGATCAGCTTCAGCCGCCCGCATACTAGCAGGAAGTTTGCTGGCTTCAGGTCTGCGTGGATGACGCCTGGAATAGTACAATAGATTGAGAATCAAAAAGCCATAACATGGTGACAAAATAGAAATACCTCAGTACCTAAAGACATTCAGTCAACATTCAGTGTGTAATAAAGTGTGAGGAGTGTTTCTTTGCGAGATCGAATCCGTAAACGAACTAAAGTCGCTGACATAGCAAGCTGAAATGGCAATAGGCACTAGGCAGGGCGCATAGAACGCAGAACTGACGTCCGATGGGGCAACAAAGTTCTGGAGTGGGCCACGTACTGACCAGCGCAACAGGACGTCCACCCACAAAGTACATGAGACCTTATAAAGGTATAAAGAAGGCGCTGAATGCATGTATCAACCGGTTAATTTAGATATATTCATTGAAGAAGGCCTATTTTCAGTAGTAGACATCCTATGACCGAAATGATGATAGTAAAGCATAGGCTGCGCGCCACGACAAACTTTTGATGCTGCGTTTTATCGATTTTGCGCTATAAGCCCATACATTTGCAGTTTAAAATCGATGAGAATTTTATCATGGCGTGCTTCCTAGACCGAAAACAAGTTTGAGGTCCTCAGAGGCCTACAATATGGGGACTATAGTCCGGTCGCCGTGCACGTAGAATTTTGTCCAATAACCCCAAGCTACCCATCCTTATCGCTCGCGCGTAATTATATTGCTGTCGCGACTGTGCGACGGGCGGCCGCATTGAGTGTGCGAGCCGGGCTTTAGCTTTAGAATCAAATAGATTTTTGTGTTCGTGAGTGTACACACGGCCACACTGTTAACTATCCATTTACGTTTTTGCTTTCGTTCTCATCAAATGGTGATTCTTTGCGATAGAACGAGGCGACATGACAGGCAATGGATAGTTGACACTGTTGCCGATGGTACATAACCAGTAACACCACTGACCGTGCTCGTGGATGTAGTGCACGGCGTGCAGCATCTCCTCCCAGTAGTGCAGCACGAGCGCGGGCGGCAGGCCGGCGCCGCGCGCGCGCAGGAACGAGGACAGGTCCGTCTCGCCCACCTCTAACACCATACGCAGCAGCTGGTTGGTGCGGTCGTATTCGCTGCGGAATTGTAGTACATACCATGTGAAATTTAGTCCTATTTCAGAGTGGAAGCGGGCGCGGGTGGTAGCGCGGACGCGTGTAAATAAAAATGTATATGGATGTAATCACATTCACAATGCACCCGCAGGCACGGGCATAATTATAATAATTGAGATTGACTTCAGCATACAAGGTATTAAAGGTTAGATAAATGAAAAGAAATTGTACTAAAATAGATACAAGTTGTTGACTTTTGATATAGCAGGATATTAGTATTACACATTCAGTGAGTAAGATGACAAAATATTCTATGATCTAACACATTGTTCTGTAATATGTTATCATCACCTATGTTTATGTAAATAAATATATTTATCAAAGTGTGTTTCTTTACTATACAGCCTTAATTCAAATAAGAAAGAAAGAAAGAAACATTTATTAGAAATAGATAATACATTGTTATTCACTGAACAAACAACTGTTTGTTCCTTTCATAACTATGAAAGGCTGTGATAATCAAGCTTAAAAAATGCAAGTAAACTTCAGTGGTTTGCTTGAGACAAATTGAGATAAAAAGGTACATCACTCACTAAAAGATTAGTGGTTTGTAAAAAGTACTTACTAATCATAAAGCCTGATAACTCGGTCCGAGTTCTGTAGTTCGCGCAGCAGCCGCACCTCGTTGATGTAGCCCTGCGCCAGCTCCTGGTCCGTGGCCAGGTTCACGCACTTCACCGCGTACTCACAGGACGTGCCCACTTCTAACATCTGGAAATATTTGTTTACATTTTGAAAAAACAATATTCTTGTTTACTTTCTTGAAATGTATTTTTTAATATCTAAATGATAAGTTAAGGATTTCTATGTAAAATTTATTTGAAGAAAGTATGTGTAAAATATTGAATACAGGAAATTAAAATTCTAAAAAATTTAAGATTGTATCATAATATAAATTAATTGATCAAAGTTTGAATATGAAATAAATTCTTTATTTCATAAACTTATTTATTTCATATTTGTGTCTTTTATAATGCTTGAACACTAGTTCAATTTGAACGACAGCATAATGTAAACAGATTTTCAATCTACAACATAAAACAAAAGTTTACCTTATAAACTTCACTAGAGCCTCCCGTGCCCAGTTTCTTGATAAACATGTACTTTTTATCTTTGATGCTAGTGGTCTTGAATAGAATTTTGGGGTTGTTGCCGCCGGGCCCTTGTGGGTACGAAGGAGTGGCAACGTATGCTGCGGGCACCACTTTCTTATTGAGGGGAGTCTCCGGGACAGGCGCTGGAGCGGGCTCCGGCCGCGGCGGTGGACATTCATCTTTACTCGGGTTTTGAGTAAATAACTCACATCTCACTTTGTCCCTATTTTGTATCACAGCCTTCTGTGGAGTCTTCTTATTACTTTGCTTGGAGCCTGGCGTGAATCTCCTGATTCCCGATTTAATTTTAGGTGTTGCACTTTTAACTTTTTGACTACTGCTAGGGATGCGAGATATTTCAGGTGTCTTCTTATGGGCAGAATTTATTTGATTTTGAAGGATCTTATTGTTATAGTGTTGCACTGAAGCAGTGCGACTTCTCTGCTCTGAAGGTGGTTGCATTGAAGAAATACTTTTGTGTGTGCTGTGAAAGATGTTATTGTTTTTATTGTTGGGGTACGTTCGGTTATCATCGTTATTAATGTTCTCTTTGTCGTGTTCTCTGTGAGTGACTTTCCTTTCGGAAGTATAACCTTTGATGATTTCTTTGTGCTGGACAGCTCGTGCGTTGGGCGTGCGCAAGTCGTTGTTTACTTTCAATGGAGAAGGCTTCTTGGAAACCGTCTCACCTATGGAATTATCGCTTTCATCATCGGACATAAAACTCGTGTCTGGACTGTCTGATTGCTTTTGTAGAGGTAACAAATTAGCGAGTAATGCCGACATCGGCATTGGAGTGAATTTGATGCTGTTAGAGGTTGATTCTGTATTTCCACTCATAATTACAAATTTTGCTTCAAATCGGATTTCCATATAAAATTAATTAATCACATTTACACCTCATAAAACACTTTTTAACACTAAAACAATATTCACTTTGCAAATCCGTTTGTGATCCGTTACAAAACAAAACTTTCGAAAATTTGACGTATGTCAAATTGACAGTGATTTTTTTTATAAATTGTTAGGCAGGCACAGATTCATTTAACTATTCAGCTTATAAAAATAACTATAACGTTATACAAAATAGTCCAAGTAAGGTCCTGTCAATCGCCAGGGGTGCCAAGGCCAACTGTAAAGTATAAAAACGATAGCCCTCATTAGCTTTCCTTCTGAAAGTTGTATGTGAATGATTTGTAAGCCGCAGTTTTTTTGCAATACGTTTTAGCTGCACTTTATCAACTAATGATCGACCAAGCCAACGCAAACACATTTTATTTCCAGTCTTTCTAGCAAAAAGAAGCCCTCTTGGCCATTGATTTAAAGTAAAAAAACATCTATTCAGTACATAGGTCTTTTCCACGGCCACTACCATGGACCTATAAAAAAAGGCCACTACAAAAACAATCAGACGGATTGCACAGGATTAGGTTAGGTTGCAAGGTATTCCAAAGGACGCACATAAAAAAGTCTGTACACAATATTTTATATTTTTACTTATATTGATTACAAATAAACATTGTACATTAAATACATACATTATTTTACATTAAAGTAATTAAATATAACATAATATAAAGTAGATTCTATTTACATTCAAGGATTTATTGAGATTATTATAAGGCGGACTAGGTAAACGTCCGGGTTTATCTCTGGAGTCCATCCTCACGGGTCCCGTCACGGAACCCACGGGCCCGTGCCAACTGCCAACAAGGATTTAAGCGTCGGCCTCCGTGGATTTTACTGGATATCTGCACTCTGGAGAACCGCATTCACATTTCATCCACTTCGATTTGACGGACCAGAACTTGTCACCGTAATCAAACCTGTAACAAATAAAAAATAGTTAAGGTAAAGAAAATAAGCAGGGTATATTTAGGACCGGTTTCCTCCAAAGCGGAGGGGAGAAGCGACGAGTGGAGAGGAGATGTGCATAGCTGTCAGTCTATTGTGGGTCTACGAATCGTATGACGCCTGCAGGTGTACGAGGTACGAGGAGAAGTCAGTGGAGGACGTGGAAACCGGGCCTTATACGAAACCGAACAGCCATTGAGGGCCATTAGTATATCAGACATATTCATCTGTGGTCATCAATATGTCAATGATCTTTTTAAGGCAAGAGTGGTGGCGGCCCTTCTTCACAGTTCATACCACACCGGTATTAAACGACAGCCAGGCAATAAAATAATATGTAGTCTATGGGGTGTCATAAATATGTAGCAAGCTTCGATTACTCTTTTATAATGCGAACAGCTAGGGACTGTAATTCGTTGCCTGCTGCTGTCTTTCCCGAAAACTATAATCCAGGCCTCTTCAAAGCGAGAGTGAATAGGCACTTACAGGGCAGATATGTACCATCCTAGACTGCATCCCACTTAACATCAGGTGCGATTGTGGTCAAATACCTGCCTTGTTGTGCATAAAAAAAAAAGGTTGACTTACGTGAGCTCTTCGCCGGCAGCGACGTCACGCATGGCGTAGAGCGCGACGACGGGCGCGGCGAGGTCGCGTGCCCGCGTGAACACGCGAAGTGGGGCCAGGTTGGGCGCACAGCTGTGGTTCATGAAGCGCGCCGCTGAACCCCATATGCATGCGTCCACGCATAGGGTCCCTTTGTCGCCGCATTGCTGCAAATGAAATAAAATGTTTATACAAGTTATACAATATCATTCATATTATAATTATTATTGTGACATTTAATTTAATTCTTTTGTATAATTTCTTGAATCACGAAAAATTTATTCTGTTGCATGCCGATATGGTATGATGTAGCTGAACAATATAAATTTTTATGTGACCTATATGTACCTACATTATGCAATAAATGATTTTGATTTGATTTGATTTGATTCATTTAACGACGAAAGGCAAAAAAAGATGAGTACATCGAAATATGTAGTAGGTATTAGAAATCTTATAAAGTGATCGACCGTTTATCGATACTATTTCATTTTCTGGCCATAATACTACACATTACTGGATGTAGGTAGACCTTGTTTTCGGATACTAGCGACACCTCTCCTCACACTGTGAGATTACTGGATAACCTGCTCAGTTGTTCCCCACACAGCACAACACTACGCTATCACCATAAAGTATTACCTGCTGCAGATCAGGCTTAATATCAAGCGCGAACAGATACTGGTCATTAGGCCGCGCGTCCGCTCTAGCTAGAGGCAGTAACTCGCCACAGTACAGCGCCACGGGAGAGCCGCGCGGCACCGCCGACACGGCTCGCAGCCCCCAGCCCGCGCGGGCAGTACGGAAGACTTCCGCGCGGATGAACAGCGAGCCGCGTTGTTGTAAACGCGATATTACCATGTTGCCGCATTTGCGCTGGGGATAAAAAGTGGACAAAATCGTTAGCTAAGAATATAGAACGCGTCACGTAAAAAGCAGACAGACAGAGGAAGGGATATGTTTGTGCAAGGGTTCAATCACGCACGCAATTTCAAATTAATCGGACTGTAATAAATAAAAGTAGCATACAAAACCCAGTTTTTTTAACTACAAACTTTATTTTATTTTGTTTGGAAAACATACAGTTCATACAGTACATTTCCATTTCCGATTACCTGTAAACGGCTAAGCAGAGACATAATTTAAGTTTCATTATTTGTATTGGTTGCTGTTGGTTTTCCTAATAAAATAAATAAATAATAAAGCCTATTCACCGCTTCTCGCACCGTCGCAATTCGCGCAGGAGTTCAAAGCTCATTTTATGACGCATCTATCGGCTTAAGACAAGGTTTCTCACCTTATTGCAAGCGCAGGTGGCGTTGCACTCGAACATCATGGGCGGGTCGTGGTGCGGGAAGGCGGGCGGCAGGCGGCCCAGCGCCGAGCTCCAGCGCCGCACGCTCAGCACGCAGCACGCGCAGCCGCCGCCGCTGCAGTCGCCGTCCTTGCATTCACAACCCTGTGCCACAAAAAAAATTAAAATATTAAAGCTTGTAACGCGATAACGTTATTAATAACGTGACGTTATGTTATTTTGTCAGTGGTACGATCCGATCCACGCAGAAGTTAGCCAGAACTTTTTGACTATTAATTTGAAATAAAAAGGCATGTATTTCTTGAGCAATCCGTATTTTAAGTTAAAAAAGAGGTCACTAAAGCGAAGTCTATGTCCGTTTTCACCATCAATCCCAAATTTTTAAGTGAACCCTATGGTAACAAATAACAGGAATTTTGTTTACATAGGGGTCACTTAAAAATTAGGGCTTGATGGTGAAAACGGGCCCTAGACTAGCAATAGAACTTGCAGAAGTTGACTTCCGCAAGCTGTTTACCACTGTGTAAACGGAACAGCTGTGGCAAGCCAACTTCTGTAAGATTTACACAGTGATGACAGCTTGCGGAGGTCAACTTCTGCAATTTTTTTTATGGCAATCCGCGCAGTATAATATAAAAGGCAATCGTAGTTTGTTTATCGTCCTCACCTGCATACTCTGTATCGTGTTGTCTATGCTGAGCGGCTCGGGCATGACGTGGTCGGTGACGTAGGTGAAGTCATCCGGCGCGGGCGTATCGTCCACTTGGTTAACACACGGTAGCGCGTACGTCTCGCAGCCGTTTGACAGGTCGCTGGGAAGGGAAAATGAAGTTTAGTGCCTTGTGTTAAGGTTTGAATTTGTGGAGTGTCCTGGCTGTTCTAGAATTTCTAGAGGTCAAAACGTTCAGCGAATCTTCTTTTTCTGCCTCGTCTTATCCCGTTACTCGAGGTCACTTAAAAGCACGCCTGTCTAAAAACGGAAACTTTCTTCGTGGATAGGGAAAACGATTTACCACATCATATGGACTGGTTCCTTCTAACTAATTCAAAATTGCGCAACTGTAGGCCTAAGATGCGCGTCGTGATAACTTTTATCGACGTCAAAATATATGAACAAAATCGATAAAATGGCATGATAACCGCTTATCGCGGCACGCATCTTAGGCCTACTGGACTAATTTAAAAAAAATTGTGACAATCATAGTACAGTTACTTAGGCCTGGTTTCCACCAAGGCGGTGCAGAGCGGAGAAGAGAAGTACACACCGTTGATTTTTCGTCGGCCAATAGTTTAGGCTGTTGATCAGTATGGGCAATGGGCATGTATGGGAGTGCGCACACTACGCCGATTCGATTTGGCCGATTCTTCATACAATTTGAAATCGGGCACAACCATCGGCCAACTAAAAGCCTACTCTTAAAATACTTCTCTGCTTGGTGGAAATTTTAGCTAGGTAACTGGAGCCTGAGATAGGGTAGTCCATCAGGGTGGTCGTCAGCTCACCTGGCCAGCAGCTTGCCGCGGCGCAGCTGGCCTTTAGCCGCGAGCGACATTTGCATGTTGAGCGAGACGACGCTCTGGCACGCGCCGCTGCAAACTTCCACCGGCAGCTCGCCCGCCGAGTTCTCCACGTCCGTCTGAGGCAAAATACAGGGTAAATAAAAAGGTATATGGTAGCAATTGAGTAAGTATTATTCTAATATTAGTGACCATATAAGTTTAAAACAATATACGTTGTTCATATTGTTAATTGCGAAAAATCTAAAACGTTAAATAACGGTATCGTTGCGGCCAATGAGCTGTTGTCATAGTGTGACATTGACAATACGTCAATGTCACACTAGGATCAAACGTCAGAATAGAGGGACGCGCGGAGACGACTCCGCGCGCTTTTGTGTTAAGTGATGAATTGTATTTAAAATAAGGCAATATACTGTGAAAGTTAAGTATCCAGTGTTTTATTTATGAGAATAGATCTACCGACCTCTAAAAATATGATATAAAGAAGTCGGTTAATTAGAACTATGGTACTCCCCCACACTTGTGTCTTTTAAACTTCGTCTTACTGGCGTACTCTCTTTAAATTAAATAACGCGACGCCGCGTAGAACCGGCGTTCGGCAACCGCTCACCATTGGCGTTGTGACGACGCTGTCTAACGCCGCTTCGATATTTCGAAGGCGCAAGACGACGACGCTCTAAAGACTATATTGTAAGGTGTCTCTATGTAGGACCAATGGGTGCAAATATCGTCATAAATACACTGTTTATTATAAACATACCCGTGCTCCCCTCGCCAACAAGATAACGACGCAAGAGTAGTGTCCTTGACGGGCGGCAACGTGTCTGCAAAAAAAGGAGAATCAATTATGTATGAAATATCTAGTTTGCGCTTCCAAAGTGCATAAAGACCGCCCATTTCTAAGCAACAGTATACGTTGATTAGTGTGCTTACCATAAGTTTAAGTTAGGTGTGCTCGATAGCGACTGCGTCGTCAGCGCTCCTAGCGGCTAATTTCAAGAAATAAAATCTTCATAGATTTTTAACGCACTCGCTAGCGACCACATACCTAACGTAAATTCATGGTGAGCATACTGAGATTGGTTTTAGTGTCACGTGTTCCGTCCGCTGCGAACCCGCTCCGCACGGCCAATCTGTATGAACTTCTAGGGAGCGTTTTAGAGTAACGCGGTCCGGAGGAACCGCTCCGCTCCCAGCAGTTCATACAGATCGGCTGTGCGGAGCGATCCGCACTGACAGTCTGCGTGACATTAAAACCAGCCTGAGAATGTGTAACCGCGTGCATACATGTACTAGCGTGCACACACGGGTCATCAGCAGGTCATCGCCACCATCTGCAGTACCAACTACAGACAGAATTCATTCTTTTTGCGATCGGCATGTGAAGTGAACAAATTGGTTACCATTCCTGAACTAGATTTGTTTAACTCGAAACCAAATCTCTTTAGGGACACATTGGCTAAATCTTGGTTCGACGGTTCATCAGCTGTTTAATGTAGGTATAGATCTTAATTTTTTATAACCACGATAGCCGAACGGTGAAGGGGTCGGTGTGGCCGACTCGAGATACGAGGAACGCAACGCGGGTTCGAATCCCACCGCCGCTCGACTATTGTGGTGAGCCCACTCGTAACACAAGCTTATTTAGCTTACCACGAGGGGCTAATGGGACTATTAGTAATTTGGGCAATACAAATTGGTAATAATCTTTTCTTTAAAAAAAAAAAAAAAAAAAAAATTAAAAATAACTCTCTCATGTAAGCGAATTGGCTTTTGTTGTATAATAGTATTGCTACACATATGCGAAAACATGTAAATGGTGTATAGTTTCTTAAGCAGTGGTTAATCTATTATTGTTTCACTGTATGTTTTCCGAACAAAATAAAATAAAATCGTGTACTCACAGAGGCGTGTCTTTGTGCGCGTTGGGCGCAGCGTGAGCATGCGGCGCGGCGGCGAGCAACAGTCGCAGCGAGCGCGCGTGGCCGGCCAGCGCGCACCAGTGCACGCAGCCGTTGCCTTCGGAATCACGTGTCGTGGCGTCCGCGCCACGTGATAGTAGCAATCTGCGAAAAGACATTTTTATAGATCTAGCGCGATTTTATAGATCTAGCATGGCATGATGGCGATCCTAATGATTTCTACTGATCGCCATCGCGCTCGCAGGCTGCACGCGTTGGTTTGGCTGAACCTTAACTGAGGAGTGGCACGGGAGAGGAGGCATTGACATATTATTATGACGTGACAGAACATACGAATCTGAAATGTTGCTGACGTTTGACGTCAACAAAAACACCTTCCCGTGCCGCTAAAAACCACGCAAGGTACGCACTCCATAAGAAATCTGTTCGAATAATTCATTGGATCTCTTGAGCTCATATTTCACAAGAAGAAAACAAAAACTTTGTATTAATAGGATTGAGTCTTCTGGAGTACCTCTATAGCTATACCACAGGGATCAATATTGGGACCTATACTATTCCTTATTTATATTCATGATATTTATAGGCTATTTACTGACCTGACGACGTCGACGTGGTCGTTCTCAGCCGCCCACACGAGCGGCGTCCACCCTCGCAGGTCGCGTGAGTCTACTGACTCATCGCCCGCCTTTAGCAACGCTGTACAAAGCTCCACGGCACCACCTTGCGCAACTATATCCAGTAGTGTAGAGACCTCTGCAGCTTGCTAAGTTCACAGGCTATGTACTGACCTGACGACGTCGACGTGGTCGTTCTCAGCCGCCCACACGAGCGGCATCCACCCTCCCAAGTCTCGTGAGTCTACTGACACATCCTTCGCAAAGCTCTACGTCACCACCCTGCGCTACTATGTCCAGTAGTGTAGAGACATATGCAGCTTACTAACTTCAAAGGCAGTGTACTGACCTGACGACGTCGACGTGGTCGTTCTCAGCCGCCCACACGAGCGGCGTCCACCCTCCCAAGTCTCGTGAGTCTACCGACACATCTCCCGCCTCTAGCAACGCTGTACATAGCTCTACGTCACCACCTTGCGCTGCTATATGCAAAGCTGTCATGCCTTCAGGACCCTGGAAACATTCACAAATTATTATCTAATCTAAAATATGTTTTATCATTTAAAAACTGCATCCATAATCCGGCTCGAAGGACCATGTACAAGTCTAAAAAGCCCACAGGTAGTAACTTGAATAAAATCAAGATTCCAATGGCAAGTCTCATTTATTCCGAAATAAGATTGACTATTGCATTGGACATCAAAAACTCACATACCGCGATTCCACCTACACACAGTGCCATCTATCGGTAACTCATAATACTACATAAATGAAACTTAATATTGAACAACCGCATCATATAACATTATAACCAGTACAACATGAATGACATCTTACTAATATTATAAATGCGAAAGTTTGTATGGATGTCAACATGTTTGTTACTCTTTCACGTAAAAACTACTGAACAGATTTTGATGAAACTTTACAGTATTATTGTTTATATCATGTGTTAAACCATGATAAAATGTATGAACTGTATTATGTATGTGATTTTGTTGGTGTACCTAATAAATAAATAAAATAAAATAAAAAAGCTAGTTAATTAATAAAATTAAAAAAAATACCTGTATGTTTATGTCACAGCCAGCCGCGACTAAGTACCGAACGAACTTCATAAGATCCTCTCTGCTAGCTTTTCCCACTTTGCATTCTTCTATACTCGCGATGCTGTCATCCTGTTCTTCTATTCCTTCTTTGGTATCCTCGTCAGTTTCTTCTTTAGATTTGCTGTCTTCTTTAATTTCCTTTTCTTTTAGTTTCTTTGACTTGATTGGACTCTTCTTTTCAGATTTTTCTACCAACACTGCAACAAGAATTTGTATTTTAGTTGACATTCGATAGGTTGAGCGATATAGCTTCTCCGCGCTACGTAAACCTGCCAAATATTATTCCGAGCACTTCTTTTTTTATTTGTTAGGCCATGAAGACAACATTCGCCTATCAGCCTAGGGTATATAAAGGGTGGGAACGATAAGTGAGCTCACTCGATTATTTCGCAACTATACATGATATCCAAAAACTAGTTATTAATCCTGAAAGTGCTTCACGAGCTCTATCAAATGGATTTATCCGAAAATTTAATGTTTCTAGTTTTTTCACTTATCGTTTCCATCCTGTATAATGCACACAGGCGACCTGTGCACTGTGCAGCGACGTCATCTCGCTTGTACGTGTACTCACACGGCGCGGCGAGTACGAGCGGCGTCCGCAGCGCGTTGTCGGCCGCACACAAGTCCGCGCCGGCGTACTGCAGCAAGTACAGCGCGGCCGCGTCGTCTCGCTTGTACTTGTACGGGTACTCACACTGCGCGGCGAGTACGAGCGGCGTCCGCAGCGCGTTGTCGGCCGCACACAAGTCCGCGCCGGCGTACTGCAGCAAGTACAGCGCGGCCGCGTCGTCTCGCTTGTACTTGTACGGGTACTCACACTGCGCGGCGAGTACGAGCGGCGTCCGCAGCGCGTTGTCGGCCGCACACAAGTCCGCGCCGGCGTACTGCAGCAAGTACAGCGCGGCCGCGTCGTCTCGCTTGTACTTGTACGGGTACTCACACTGCGCGGCGAGTACGAGCGGCGTCCGCAGCGCGTTGTCGGCCGCACACAAGTCCGCGCCGGCGTACTGCAGCAAGTACAGCGCGGCCGCGTCGTCTCGCTTGTACTTGTACGGGTACTCACACTGCGCGGCGAGTACGAGCGGCGTCCGCAGCGCGTTGTCGGCCGCACACAAGTCCGCGCCGGCGTACTGCAGCAAGTACAGCGCGGCCGCGTCGTCTCGCTTGTACTTGTACGGGTACTCACACTGCGCGGCGAGTACGAGCGGCGTCCGCAGCGCGTTGTCGGCCGCACACAAGTCCGCGCCGGCGTACTGCAGCAAGTACAGCGCGGCCGCGTCGTCTCGCTTGTACTTGTACGGGTACTCACACTGCGCGGCGAGTACGAGCGGCGTCCGCAGCGCGTTGTCGGCCGCACACAAGTCCGCGCCGGCGTACTGCAGCAAGTACAGCGCGGCCGCGTCGTCTCGCTTGTACTTGTACGGGTACTCACACTGCGCGGCGAGTACGAGCGGCGTCCGCAGCGCGTTGTCGGCCGCACACAAGTCCGCGCCGGCGTACTGCAGCAAGTACAGCGCGGCCGCGTCGTCTCGCTTGTACTTGTACGGGTACTCACACTGCGCGGCGAGTACGAGCGGCGTCCGCAGCGCGTTGTCGGCCGCACACAAGTCCGCGCCGGCGTACTGCAGCAAGTACAGCGCGGCCGCGTCGTCTCGCTTGTACTTGTACGGGTACTCACACTGCGCGGCGAGTACGAGCGGCGTCCGCAGCGCGTTGTCGGCCGCACACAAGTCCGCGCCGGCGTACTGCAGCAAGTACAGCGCGGCCGCGTCGTCTCGCTTGTACTTGTACGGGTACTCACACTGCGCGGCGAGTACGAGCGGCGTCCGCAGCGCGTTGTCGGCCGCACACAAGTCCGCGCCGGCGTACTGCAGCAAGTACAGCGCGGCCGCGTCGTCTCGCTTGTACTTGTACGGGTACTCACACTGCGCGGCGAGTACGAGCGGCGTCCGCAGCGCGTTGTCGGCCGCACACAAGTCCGCGCCGGCGTACTGCAGCAAGTACAGCGCGGCCGCGTCGTCTCGCTTGTACTTGTACGGGTACTCACACTGCGCGGCGAGTACGAGCGGCGTCCGCAGCGCGTTGTCGGCCGCACACAAGTCCGCGCCGGCGTACTGCAGCAAGTACAGCGCGGCCGCGTCGTCTCGCTTGTACTTGTACGGGTACTCACACTGCGCGGCGAGTACGAGCGGCGTCCGCAGCGCGTTGTCGGCCGCACACAAGTCCGCGCCGGCGTACTGCAGCAAGTACAGCGCGGCCGCGTCGTCTCGCTTGTACTTGTACGGGTACTCACACTGCGCGGCGAGTACGAGCGGCGTCCGCAGCGCGTTGTCGGCCGCACACAAGTCCGCGCCGGCGTACTGCAGCAAGTACAGCGCGGCCGCGTCGTCTCGCTTGTACTTGTACGGGTACTCACACTGCGCGGCGAGTACGAGCGGCGTCCGCAGCGCGTTGTCGGCCGCACACAAGTCCGCGCCGGCGTACTGCAGCAAGTACAGCGCGGCGACGTCACCCCGCTTGCACGCCGCGTGCACGCAGCTGCCGCCCATCAACGATGTTATTTGCTCGTTGATTGTCGAGCGAGCAGCGGCTGTAACAATATTTATTTAAGTAATAGTCATTTCAAATATGTAATAATTTGAAAACAAAAAGAAAAGAAAAATAACCCTGTACAGCAAGACTTCAGAACAGGGGGGCCAGGGGGTAGAGGAATGTCAGGGCGGCATAACGTTTGCATTTCCGGAAAAAAAATTACGCGTATCCCTGGGGTTTTTTTTTCAAGGGGTTAAGATTTTCTATATGTACGGAGGTATGCATGTACGGGGGACATGATTTTTTTTTTATTTGGGTAGGTTCTGTAAAATAAAGGTTCCGAAACCTTACTCTAGAGAAAGTATCGTACTCACCAATCTTCGGCAACAGCTGCTGTATAGATTCTCCCGCCAGTATGGCGTCACAAAGACTTTGCGCGGGCGAGCGTGACGGGTCGCACTTGGCCGCGTTGCTCTCGCATAGCGCCTTCAAGTCTATAGGCGGAGAGGGCAGCAAGCCTTCGGGGATGAGGGGCATCGGTTCCTCCTGAGGCTTTGCTAGGCTGGTGAACCCGAGGTATGCGGGGGTGCTGAGGACAAAATCGTTCGTTATTTGACGTTGGTTTGATGAAATTAGAAAGTTTCATACATAGGCACTCCAAAGATTACTTAATTTAGTGCAAGGATATTTGATAAAAGTACGACGCCGAAGTTGGTCAAATTATGCTCAGTGTTTTCAAGTGACTTATAGGGTACATAAACTAAAATGCAGGGCGTTATGAGATCAAAAATAATAAAGGTGTATCTCTTTGCCAGGGGCGTAGCTACCGCTGTATCAAAATACGGGACTCTAGGACTATGAGGACCCCCAGGGCCGGATTTTTTTTTTTTTATTGGACAGAGCATAAAGACCCTATCTTTAAGAGCATCCCAGGGCAGCGTGTTCGAGGGGTGTCCCGTCCTGATTTTTAGATGATCCCCTTGATCCTCCATGGTGTTTTTGTAGTTGAAAGGGCCCATTTGTGGATCAATGTCTGCACTCACCACCGCTCGCGCTGGTCAGGCAGGAAGATGCGCTTGTTGCTACAGTCCATTCTCAGCGCCACGCCGCAGTGCGGGCAGCCCGGGCGAGCCTTCGCGTCGCTCGACCAGCGGGAGAAGGCAGGCGCTGTGAGGGACACTGTGACCAGCCACACACTCACCACTGCTCGCGCTGGTCAGGCAGGAAGATGCGCTTGTTGTTGCAATCTATCCGCAGCTTCGCGTCGCTCGACCAACGGGAGTGAGGCAGGCGCTGTGAGGGACACTGAGGGACACTGTGACCAGCTACACACTCACCACTGCTCGCGCTGGTCAGGCAGGAAGATGCGCTTGTTGCTGCAGTCCATCCGCAGCGCCACGCGGCGGCAGGCGCTGTTCCGAGGCGTCCAGCGCCGCGCGCCCACGCCGCAGTGCGGGCAGCCCGGGCGAGCCTTCGCGTCGCTCGACCAGCGATTCCAGCGGGAGTGAGGCAACCCACACTCTAAGTGGAATAGGTGGCCCAGGGAGCATTGGTAGAACGTGCCCTGTAGAATAAAATGAGCAATTAGTGTTTACGAGTTATTGATAAGGTTTGCGCGCGGTTAAAACAAGAGCCCCAGCGTCAGTAGTAGAAGTACTACTGACGCTGGGGTAGCACTATTGAAACACGTATTTGATGCTTGGGAGAGTAAAAAGGACGCTGTTGGTATTTTCTGTGATCTTTCAAAAGCGTTTGATTGTGTAGACCACCAAACCTTACTAAACAAATTGCGACATTATGGTGTTTCGAATAAGTCACTTGATCTGCTGAACTCGTATCTCACAGGCAGAAAACAAAAAGTTTGTATTAACGGAACTGAGTCTTCTGGAGCACCTCTTACTATGGGTGTGCCGCAGGGATCAATATTGGGACCTTTGCTATTTCTTATTTACATTAATGACCTTCCTTACTTTGTAAAAGATCTGTGTGATATTGTGTTATTTGCTGATGACACATCTCTCATTTTCAAAGTTGATAGAGGTAAAGTAAATTTTGACGATATTAATAACACACTCTCACAGGTTCTACATTGGTTCACTGTTAACAACTTATTGTTAAATGCAAACAAAACTAAGTGCATTAAATTTACCTTACCTAATGTGAGGCAGGTTTCCACGCAATTAATGGTGAAGAATGAACCATTAAATAGCATAAATTCCACAACATTCCTGGGAATCACTTTAGATGCTAAACTTCAATGGGGTCCTCATATTGAAACTTTGTCAAAAAGGCTCAGTTCGGCTGCTTTTGCAGTGAGAAAGATAAGGCAATTAACTGACATTGAAACGGCAAGGCTAGTATATTTTAGCTATTTTCATAGTATAATGTCATACGGCATATTGTTGTGGGGCTCAGCCGCGGACATTGAAACTGTGTTTGTTCTGCAGAAGAGAGCAGTGCGGGCCATTTATAACCTTGGACCCCGATTTTCCTTGAAAGATTTTTTTAAGGAAATAAACATACTGACTGTAGCTTCACAGTTCATTTATGAAAACCTTTTATATGTCCGCAAAAATATAGAGCAATTCACGAAAAAGAGCGATTTGCATAACTTTAATACAAGAAACAAAAATAAACTTGCCGTTCCAAATTTCAGATTGCATAAGATTGGTAATTCATTTATGGGAAAATGTATTAAATTCTTTAATAAATTACCACAAACTGTTGTAGAACTACCCATTCATAAATTCAAAGCACATATTAAAAGTACCTTAATGAAAAAGGGCTACTATAAAGTCGATGATTATTTAAAAGATAAAAATGTTTGGGAGACGTTACTGCCTAGCTCGCATAAATATTTATAACTTTGTACATTTTAAAGCATGTAAACCTTTGAAAAAGAGGCTGACAATAGTGACTGAGTTTCTTGCGCTGCTTCTTCTCAGCACTGGCCCATTTATTGTCCTGAAGTAGTGGTAGGGTTAATACTGGGACGTGTAAAAGTGCTTTTTTTTAAGCCTATTTACAGAAATAAATGAGTTTTTTAGTTTTTTATGAGTTTTTTAGCGCAGGCTTCAATGAACTGTTTGTATTCGTCGTCCTGTTTGTATTTGGTGGTTACTAGAAATCATTCTAATACAATAAAATGTTATGAAAATGTAATCCAAAGTCTTTATTGAAGTTACTATCTCCACGACGGCTTACCACATTCCGTACCGGAAACAGCAGCGTGGAACATCTGTGATAGACTAGGATCACTACGTGTCTTCCGGTCCGTGGTCACCATTCGAGATTTTTTCTGCCATAACGGCTCTCTAGTTACCTGCGTGCAAAACAGTCCGCAGTTAGGGCAGCACATACATATGCGCGTGGGTCCCGGCGCGAAAACGCGGCCTACTATGTTCCAACACTTCCAACCTGTAGGGTCCAGTATCACGCCGCTACTCTAATTACCTGCGTGCAGAACAGTCCACAGTTGGGGCAGCACATATGCGCGCGCAGCTGGGCCGCGTGCAACGTGCACGTGAGCACGAAGGGCGCGCGAGGCCCGGCGCGTTCTAACACTTCTAACCTGTAGGGAGTATCACACCGCTACTCTAATTACCTGTGTGCAGAACAGTCCACAGTTGGGGCAGCACATAATATGGGCGCGCAGCTGAGCCGCGTGTAACGTGCACGTGAGCACGAAGGGCGCGCGACCCGACCGACTCGTAACATCGGCCACTACGTTCCAACACTTCCAAACTGTAGGGTCGAGTATTACGAAGATTCTTTAGTTACCTGCGTGCAGAACAGTCCATAGTTGGGGCAGCACATATGCGCGCGCAGCTGAGCCGCGTGCAACGTGCACGTCAGCACGAAGGGCGCGCGGGGCCCGGCGCGTATCAGCGGCTTACTATGTTCCAACCTGTAGGGAGTATAACGCCGTCTCTCTAGTTCGTTCGTTTCAGCCAAAAGACGTCCACTGTTGAACAAAAGCCTCCCCAGTTTTCCATCCGACTGGTCCTGCGCTGCCCGCATCTAGAAACTTCCCGCGACCTTCATCAGATCTTCGGTCCACCTAGTGGGGGGCCTGCTCACATAACGTCTCTCTAGTTACCTGCGTGCAGAACAGTCCACAGTTGGGGCAGCACATATGCGCGCGCAGCTGAGCCGCGTGTAACGCGCACGTGAGCACGAAGGGCGCGCGGCCCGGCGCTTATCAGCGGCTTACTATGTTCCAACCTGTAGGGAGTATCACGCCGTCTCTCTAGTGACCCCAACCTCTAGGGTCGAATATCCCGCTACCTCTTAAGTTACCTGAGTGCAAAACAGTCCGCAGTTGGGGCAGCACATATGCGCGCGTAGCTGAGCCGCGTGTAACGTGCATGTCAGCACGAAGGGCGCGCGTGGCCCGGCGCGTAATAGAGGGCGGAGCGTCCCATCTTCGCGCGCGGCGGCGTGCGAGCAGCCCACGCGGACGCCGTCGACTGTCTCGATCGCTTGGCAGAACACCGGCTCTGCGGTGCGAACAATAACAATAATAATGACCCACGCTGAACTGACCCACCAAACTCAATGACAGGGGGGCGCTACCATCGTTCAACTAAATGGTTTCCAACATGGCAAAAATCGGAACCAGCGATCCAGTTTTTTTTTTTTTTTTTTATAAATCTTTGGACAATTTCACACAGCGCCAGCTAGCCCCAAAGTAAGCAACTTAATGCTTGTGTTATGGGTGTGTTAACGGATATACTACTTATATACTTTTTTTTTAAAATACATAAATATTATACATAGTCACACCCAGACCCGTCACAGAAATTAAAATTCATCATTTCAATTTCTGCCCGGCCGGGAATCGAACCCGGGACCTCTCGGCATAGTAGTCCGTTCTGAACCACTACACCAAACGGCCGACTGACGACGACGAGTATTGACGGTGGCGCCCCGCTGTCAATGTCATGGATAGGACAGTCCAGTATTTTGGAACTATACAGTTGTCCAATACTGAATCGTGCTAGCTATGACAATGACAGGAGGGCGCTACTATCAATACTCGGTTATTAGTTCAGATTGTTACCACTTGACGAATCATTCAACTATACCACAATTTTGTACTCGACAAGCGTAGCGCATAACTGGTAGTAAAGCGGTCCTGATGGAGATGTTTTTGGGCGTTTTCTTATAGTACAGCAAGCACTGCTCAGTACTCCATACCCACCAGTAAGAGAACTGAGTGGTTCTTATAGTGCTATAAAGGCTATAACGGAACACACTTCGTTTTGTTTCAGTTTGAACTTTGAATTTCTGACGAATAAAGTGATATAATTTTGATTCAGCCAGACAGATGTATACGGTAACAGCTCTGTTACGTCACATGTCCTACACCATTCTGCTAGAACCTACTCAGTTATGCGCTATGCTTGTAACAACTATGAAATCCAATTTCTATCACTTCACCCAAAAAAGTTCTATGCTGAACATAGAACTGGGACTGAAATGATGATGATGATGACCCCAAAACGCAGTAGTAATATACTATAAAAACACAATGATCTACCCAGATAAAAAAAAAACATAAGTTACAAATTATAATCATACCAGTGAGTTCCCCGGGCGCCGCATATATGTTGCTGGGCGTCTCGCAGAAGCACGTGGCGGCCGTACTGGCCTCGTCTTCAGGGCACGCCGCCTCGGAGCCTTCGTCGCCGCCGGCCGGCTCGCTACACGATAATGCAACAAATTCATTCAACTGTCACCTCAAGCAAGCCTGTTCATCTCCGCGAGTTTGCATCGAAAACAAAACACGCTGGACGGCACCTACTGGGATATTTAATCGACAGGACACTCAAGAGTGAGCATTGTATTTCCTCCGCCATTTTCCGCAGTTTGGCACTTCACGTCACACATTATTTTACCGAAGTCCTATGGAATCGGCGCAGTACCGACACGTACCGATCACGGACGTATGTCAATAAAACGGTGCGCGATTCATGAGACAAGCTATATTACACCATATTGTTGACGACATTGAGCATACATTTTTTAAGTACCTTCGCTAAGAAAACCAGTGGGTCTAGACAAAGTGCAAATTATGATCGCAAACCAGTCGAAAAGTGGTCGAAAAGCCCCTTTTTTGTATGGAGTTTTGACAGATTCGATTTTCGATTCGATCAAAAAGTGCGTTTTGTCTAGGGGGGCTGTACGTAGTACTTATTATTATTCTGTGCCTCAACTACAACCCGATCGAGCTAACTGCGCATCTCGCTGGAATGCGACTTTCACTCCCTCGCACTTACCCTTTACGGGGTCCTCCATCCAAAACAGACCGTCCGATGTGACGTCATAGCCGCTAGGTGAGCAATTAACACAACCGGTTTGTCCGTTCACGCCAAACTATACTCGACGCAAAGACTCGCGGAAACTATGCACGTTGTCTAAATTCCTTTGTTTTGATTTTTTTTGCATGACTAATGATTTTACATGACTAACGTGATTTTGGCGGAATTCGTTGGGGAGGTCACTCTATGGGCCCTAATATCACAAACCTGGCCATAAACAAAATAAGAAGAACACTTGCAGCATATGAGGTCATACATAACTTCTGCAATAGAGACGCGCACAAAATACTGGAATATCGATAAAAGGCAATGTGTGTGGTGAGTCATTGCTAATATGGCTGCAAGCAAAAGAATTTGCAGTTTTTGCAGAAAATGCATGATGCGTTGCCTAGTTTGCACGTATTATAACATTAGTTTTGTTTTGCCGCGAGTCTTTGCGCCGCCGAGTAATCAATAATTAAGTGCCAGCTAATGTTAATTTGCTTTTGCACTATTGGACTATTGCTAATGTGTTTGCATAAGTTTAGGTACTTGTAGTAAAACTGGTTCAGAACCATCTGGGAAATTGTTCGTTTCATTTCGTTTCGTTTCAGCCAAATGACGTCCACTGCTGGACAAAGGCCTCCTCCAAGGTTTTCCACTCCATGTTTATTTACTACCACAGACAATATAGACTTTTTTTTTAATCATAGATATTATTGGCATTGAGTTTATAGTGAATTAGTAAATTAAACATTCAGCCCCCCAAAGGGCGACAGACCTTTAAATCAATAAACAAAGAAACAATATGCATTGTGTAACAAATAAAACTAACAAATTTCTAGGGTTCTGGAGACCTTACAGGCAATAAACAAACTTTGTGAATAGGCCTTTTAATTATTGAATTTTTACATTTTATGCTAACTACTCATGTCAAACCATCTGAACCCGGGTGGGTCTCCAAGACCCTGGGAAATTGTAAAATAAATGTAGTGACAAATTTCTATGTTTACGTACTCATTGTCATCCGGTATGTTGACCACGGACTGGGTGTCGGGCGTTTTGGAGTCACTCCGCTTCCACGGGTCGGTATTCTTGGCGCGACGCGGGAGAACATCCCTGCAGATTAAAAAATGGGCTTTTTATTCAAATTCAAAACGTTTCTTGCATGTCATATTACAATTTATAGTTTTTAACAAAAACTTAATAAGAAAAAAGGTTTTTTATACATATTATTGCAATTTTAGATTAGATTCCTGTCCTCATATTTTTATTACAAAAAAGGGATTTGTTACATTGATCTTATGTATTTTTCTTATGTATTTTTCTTACCTATTACTTTTACTTTCTTCTGGTTCCTCCACTGGCACTTCCTCGTTTCTGCGCGATCTCTTACGCGACGGGCGGTAGTTGTATTCTTCTCTACAAATAGAAATATTAGGATGTTCATTATCACAAGAAAAGTTTAGCCTATTCTGCTATGCCTACGAAAAAGTTGCATACAAAATCTATGGGAGAATCTCTTTTTGATAGTTTTAAAAAGTATGTCTATTGATTGGTGTCAACACGTCTGTTAACCACATTTTACGCATAGCTACTACACGAAAGTCACCCTTTAGATATCAGCATCAATAGAACTGTGTACACCAATAGAATTATGGCTTGTTTAATAGTTTAGCTTGTCATTGTTTGTACTCATAAAAAAATCTGCAAACAAGGACAATGTAAGACCACTACACACACACTCACTGCGGGCGTCCGTCGCAGTCGCGACAGCAATATTTTATAATGAGGGCTATCGTTTTTATACTTAACAGTTGGCACCCCTGACGTTTGACAGGACCTTACTCTACAGTGGCGCCATCTTGATGAGCGCAAATGCGATAGTCTTTCTACCACTTTCGCGCTCACCAGTCGGCGCCACTGTCTTCGCTACTAGCAAGTGACAGGACTTTACAGTGGCGCCAACTGGTGAGCGCTAAAACGATAGCCCTCATTACGCGCGAGCGATAAGGATGGGTAGCTTGGGGTCATTGGACAAAATTCTACATGCTCATAGACCGGGCTTTACACAAAGTAACATCAATTTCAACTCACTTCTGATCATCATCCACAGTGAAGGGCGCAAGTTCTGACTCCCCATACGACGAGCAGAGCCTCGTGGACCGCCTGGGGCGCTTGGCTTGAGACACCTCAGCCGAGCAGCTGAAGTCCTCATCGCTGTCATCATCGTCGTCTGCTTCTAGCAGCTTGCTGATCACTTCTGAGTCGTCGTCGATCTCATCTTCATCTTCTTCCAATTCCTCATTCTCGTATTCTTCCTCTTCTTGGCCCTCATCTTCTTCATCGTCTCTGGTAAAAGAATTATAAAGATAAGGATTTCTATTTTAAATGGAGCAGACCAGCAGGATAAAGAAATGTTAGAAGGCAAAGAACATGGCTTAAAAATAGCAGGAAAGAACGTGATGATTAATTTGTTCATTTGACATTAAATGACATCCACTGCTGGATAAAGGCCTCCCCCAAGGATTGACACAGCAACCAATGTACAATGGTTGTTAACAATCAATACCAACAAGTGACTGTGATAATAAAATTAAATAATTATATGATCTGATAGACCATAAAGAAAACAGTTCCTATTTACAGATATTTAAATAGAAAATTAAAGCAATCGAAGTTTAAGTATGTAAATGAAAAACATATTTACAATTCAACAGCCTCATCTTCCATTGTCTCCGGGTTGATTGCCTTCAGGCCGAGCTCGCAGAGGTGCTTGAGCTTCATGACGGTGTTGGGGCTTTGTTTGGCCTCATCGCTGACCTCAGGTGCTTCCTCTTCCTCGACGGCTTTGGAACTCCTGGTCTCTTTTTTGTTCCTATCTGCAATAATAATATGAAAAGAAGACAGTTATTATAAGCTTTTTAAATAACTTAAATATCATTACCAATATTACCATTTTTAAGATTATTAGATTTTTTTATAGCATCAAGCTTTATTAAAACTTTCTGATTTATTGGAATAGCCACAATGAAGTTCAAACATTGCAGTTTAAAATTAAAGTCAAAGTCAAAATTTATTTATTTGTATAGAAAAACTTTATATAGACTATTAAATAGACTATTAAATTAAATAGTGCTTACAAATCGTCAAATATTTTGCTCTTAAGAAGCCTCTACATGTCTCATAATCTTTTTACCCTACCAGCGCTTCGAGACCAACATTTGGCAAGTGCTGAGAAGAAGCGCCACAACAAACTCAGTCACCACTGTCTGCCAGTTAATATAAATAAATAAATAAATGTTAATATAATTAGAAATGTACATTCTCATTTATGATAAACTTACCTAGCAAGTACATAGCTGGAGTCACTTGAGTCAGATCTACTTCAGGTGGCATGGACCTAGCGGACTTCCTAGTTCTCACACCTTCTTCAGGTTTGTCACTCTGTAGTCCTAGTCTGGCGTTGTTCTGGGACTCCAGCCCAATCCTCAACTCTTCGTTAGCAAGTATCTTAGCAGTTGGCTTTATACGACGTGACAACCGCTGGGTTGGCCCAGGAGCAGCTTCATTGTATGACTTCTCCTTCCTGGCTATGGCATTAGCTAAAACATTGTCCGAAGATTCTTTGCTTCGACCTCTTGTCAACCTCTTTGGTGTAGCATGAGAGCTGTCTGAGGCTTCATCATTCTCTGAGACAGACTGGCTGGAGTTTTTTTCTTTTTTTGGAGATATTGACATTTCAGCATCCTCGGACCACTCCCACTTGTGCCTGGAGCGCGTCGAGCGGCGTGGAGATGGAGAGGACTCCTCGTGCTTCTCATCATTGGGAACAATCTTCATGTTGCAATTTTTTTTGTCTGAGCGAAAGGTCAGTACTATCCGAGGCTTCGGGTCTTCACCGTCCGTCTTTTTAGGATCACTCTTGTCGGAGCTGTCTGCGGTGTCGCTCGATGACTGACCTTTGTCGAGTTTTTTCTTGGGTGTGATTGGGACGTCGTCTTCCTCCGTGTGCATGTTGTCAAGGTCTACCACTTCTGCTACTTTCACTTTAATGGCTCCTTGTTTGTTTATACAAGCATTCAAGGAAAATATATTGGTGTAAAATAAAATTAGACAAATCGAAAAGAAGATAAAAAAGAACAAAACTAACGAACACTTATTTACATACGATTTCAAGTCATCATGTAAAGTGAATCAAAATCATTAGTTATCTTGAGATAACTTATGTTTATTTGGAAAAACCTATATTTTTATGTGAAAAATTAAAATTTTAGTAAAAATCACAAACACAACAATTTTACTACCATAGAGCTTTTTTTTTCTTTTACTGATTTGTCTATTGCAGACATAGGGTAATGGTATTCTCTATGGGTATTTCTACATAATGGGTTAAGGTGTGTGTACCATGGTCAGAGCCCCGATTACGGTAATTTTTAACGTCAACAATCCAGACACGCTTCTCGATTCTGCGATACGATTGGTCGTTCAACAGCGTATGTCAGCTGTTTTGACCAATCGTATCGCAGAATCAGAAACGCGTCTGGATTGTAGACGTTATAAAAGTTACCGTAATCGGGGCTCAGGTGTGTACATGTCTCCACAAATGTTTTCGGAAAGTTTTAGCAAAACACTTTTGGAAAGGTGCACGCTTAGCTTAGAGAATCTAATGGTTCACGATTCAATACGCTGCTCATATGCTGGTCATAGACAAACACAAATATTTTGACTGTATGAAAAGCTATAAAAGTTGTGCAAAAGTGTTTTTTAATCTTCACAAACATCTTGTCATATCGTAGATAGAGGATAGAGTATAGATCATGAAGCTAAAGATTCATGGTATAGATAAGCTACTAATTAAAAAAAAAAATTAGAGTGAGAAAGCTTATATGTCAGATAAATATGGGAGAGCAGGACAAAACATTTTTTTCTGTCTCCGCTTGCGTATCGGTTTTTTATGTTTGCCACCATTTGCTTTGGTGGCAGACAATTGCGTGGTGTTTTGATGTTTTTCATCAATTTATAGTGATTTCATGTCAAATAAAACTTTGGTGCCGGTTGGTGGGCACCATAAAACAACTTGTATCAGTGACTTCTGTAGAGATTCTATGAAAATATAACTCGCGCTAAGTTTGATAACGTGGTTTATTCATAAGCTTAAACACAGTACATTTTACTTGCGCAATTATTTATAATTCGCGGGCGAGTCTATTAGTACCAAGTGTCATCTAGCGGCCGCCTGCCAAGCGAGTCTTCATGTTGGTAAACCGAAGCAGTATTGCCAACCACACGATGACATTTCGCTACACCACCCCCCCACGGAGTAAAAAGGAGAATTATTATCAGTACACCGAGATAACAATTATATTTAACATTAATGTAAAGGAGTGGTGTTCATACAAATAAAATAAGTGAACTTGTAAAAGATTTTAACCTATTTACACATCACAACCCGTGAGAAAAAAGAAAACCAAAGGAAACAATACACTTAAACTATGTTACATACAGTCTACAGACATTTGAAAATAAGATAATATATCCTTTGTTTTGATAAATTTGAAAAATAAAAATAATAATAAAAGCTTATTTACAAATCTAAAATAGTCTTAAATCTAACCTTTCGACCAGATCGAGTGGTTATGGGCTGCTGGGGCAAAGTAACTACAGGGCTAGGAGGTTGCATTGACACCGAAGGTTTATTAAGGATAGGGGTGGTGGGTTTAAGAAGGCCAGAGTTAAAATCGGATGAAATATACGCAGGCTTAACACGATCGATGCTAACTTCTTGTTCTTTGCCAGATACGTCAATGGTAATGGTTTTGTTATTCCGTTTTAATACCTTATAGGGACCAGTATACGGTGGTTGAAGAGATCGACGTACTGTGTCATCCCGTAGAAAAATATGAGTAGATTTTTCTAAATCTTTGAAAACAAAAGACCTTGGATTTGAGTGTCGAGTCGCGGGAGTGGGACGTATTGCTGCCATGATTGACCGCAGACTAGCGATAAACTCCTCTGAGGTTTCCTTAGGTGAGCAGTTAGAAAACAAGAGTTCTCCAGGAAGACGCAATGGTTCTCCATACACAAGCTCAGCTGAGGAACATTCTAAATCTTCCTTAAGAGCCGAACGTATCCCTAATAGAACCAAAGGCAGGGCACGATACCAAGAGTCTTGGTGGCACATAAGAGCTGCTTTTAATTGTCGATGAAGTCGTTCAACCATACCATTCGCTTGGGGATGATAGCTGGTGGTTCTTATGCGTTTAGTGGCAGTTATAGACATCAGTTTGCTGAAAAGCGCTGATTCAAACTGCCGGCCTTGGTCTGTAGTGATGGTTGCCGGTACGCCAAATCGAGCAATCCACCCGTGGATGAGCCGTTCAGACACTTCTTCAGCAGTGATACCGACCATTGGAAACGCCTCAGGCCAACGTGAAAACCTATCTATTGCTGTGAGGCAGTAAGAATATCCATTAGAAATTGGCATAGGCCCTATAATATCAATATGGATGTGTCTAAACCTTGCCGTTGGCGTGGAAAAAGTTTCCAGGGGAGAGAAAACATGCCGGGTAACTTTGCATTTTTGACATGCTAGGCATTCTCTTGACCATTGCCGACAATCTTTGTTCATCCCAGGCCAAACGTAACGGTCCGAAACCAGCCGTGCGGTAGCAGAAGTACCCGGATGACTGAGGTTGTGGAGGTGGTTAAAAGTTGCTCGACGAAATGAAGATGTCAGGAAAGGTCGAGGTTTGCCAGTAGACATGTCACAATAAATTTTAGTGTTGGTTCCTGGGACTGCTACTTTAGATAATTTCAGGCTCGATCCACTTTGAAGTAAATTAGCTAGCTCAGCATCGGATTCTTGGGATTTTTCTAAAGATTCAAAATCCTGCCCTAGCGCAATGGCGTCAACACGGGATAAAGCATCCGCTACCACATTATCCTGACCCTTGACATATTGAATATCAGTAGTAAACTGAGCTATAAAAGATAATTGGTTTAATTGTGGAGGCGGAAGTTTTTCTCGGCGTTGAGTGAAGGCATAGAGCAAAGGTTTGTGATCCGTATACACTGTTGCATGCTGAACTTCTAGAATATGTCGAAAATGTTGAACACTTTCGTATACCGCTAGGAGCTCTCTATAGTAAGCTGGTAATGCAGCCTGTTTGGGAGTCAGTTTTTTGCTGAAGAAGGCTAAAGGTTGCCATTCTCCATTGACCTTTTGTTGAAGACAGGCACCAACGTGGGAACTTGAAGCATCTGTAAAAAGGCCCAATGATGCCTCTTGATGGGGATGGGCTAAAAGAGCGACAGAAGACAAACTTTTTTTACACGCCTCAAAATGTTGTAACAATTCCGATGACCATATAAATGGCTTCGCACCTTTTCCACCGATAGCTGTCAGCGCATCAATAAGGGGTGCTTGATGCTGGGCTGCGTTAGGTAAAAATCTTCGATAAAAATTAATCATCCCTAGAAACCGTCGCAAGCCTTGCACCGTCTTTGGAGGTGGAAAATCAACGAGGTCTTTGATACGGTTCTCTGGGGGAAGAGTACCCTCTGCATTTATTGTGTAGCCCAAGAAAGTAACTTGCTTCTTTCCCAAAACACATTTTGTTGGATTTATCACCATCCCATAATCATGAAGCCTCTGAAAAAGTATTCTAAGATGTTCCTTGTGCTCCGACATACTCTTTGAAAAGATTAGAATGTCATCAACATACGCAAAACAAAAGTTCAAACCACGCACAACCTCATCAACGAACCTTTGGAAGGTTTGTGCCGCGTTCCTAAGTCCAAAACTCATGAGAGGGAACTCGTACAGGCCAAATGGAGTTGCAATGGCTGTTTTGCACACGTCGTCTGGGTGGACAGGAATTTGATGATATGCCTTTGCTAAATCCACTGTACTAAAAATAGTTGATCCAGCCAAATTATGGCTGAAATCCCCTATGTGCTTTACGGGATAAGAGTCAGGAATGGTGCGAGCATTTAGGGCGCGATAATCCCCACACGGGCGCCATGATGAGTCCTTTTTGGGTGCCAAATGCAATGGTGAGGCCCAGGGACTATTAGAAGGGCGTGCAATTCCACACTTAACCATTTCTTCAAATTCTTTCTTTGCAACTAAAAGTTTCTGAGGAGCTAGACGACGGGGACGACAGCTGACCGGAGGACCTTCGGTTGTCAAAATATGGTGTACCGTGTTGTGTTTTACCTGTGTTGGGAGACCTGGAGGACGAGTGAGGTCTGGAAATTCCCGTAAGAGATCCGCGAAAGGAGAGTCGTTTTGAAAAATAGCTTTGACACTTTGCTGATGATGAGACGAGACGCTTGCTGGCGATGTTAGCCCTGTACTACCGTCTCTTAGAAGTTTATGTCGACAATCAGGTAAAAGGTTATAATAAGCTAAGAAATCAGATCCCACGATTGCCATATCTACATCTGCAATAACGAAATTCCACTTAAAATCACGTCTTAGTCCGAAATTGAGAATTAACGTGCGACAACCATAAGTATTAATTGAAGAGCCATTAGCTGCACTTAGCTGAAACCCTGTGGGTTTGTGGTGAATCTTCAAGAATTTTTTTGGAAATATACACAGATCAGATCCTGTATCGAGCAAAAACTGTACCTTGCTATTTTTATCCGTGATGAAAAGACGGCGACTAGTATAACTGCAATCAGATGTCGCCATCACTGATTGCCGTCTTGATTTCCCGAAGAGGTCCAGGAACACGGTTCTATACATTTCTTAGCCTTCGGTCCGAAACGGTAATGATACCAACAGAAAGGCCGTGCTCTAGATGAAGAAGATGCTCTAGAACTCGAGTTCGAGCGAGATCGCGAGGAGTCTCTTCTTGACTTATGCTGCGTAGAAAGAGCCGCTACCTGACTAGTAAGAGTTTGCAGTTGAGAGGTAATTTCGGCTAAATCAAAAGCTTGTGAAGGCATTTTTACGGCACTTACAGTGATTGGGGACACTTCAATGATTTTATCTGCAATTTCTGCAATTTTGTCCAGGGGCAATTCAGCTTGGGTGGCTAAAATGGCTTGAATATTGAAAGGTAAACGATGTAACCAAAGTTCTCGCAAAATTGTATCATCTGAAAGAGTTTTACCTGCCAGAGATCTCAGATGACGAAGGAACTGTGTGGGCTTGCGGTCTCCTATTTCCTCCCCCGAAATGAGTTGCCTAACGCGCTGAGCTTCCGAAATTGAAAACCGACTTATCATTTCTCTTTTGATCCAATCATAACGCTGGCCTTTAGGTGGAGGGTTAGTGACGAGGTCTTCAAC